GCCCAGCGGCTCCACGCGGGCCACCGCGGCTGCGGAAATGTGGGCGGCGAGGGCGCGCCACTTGGGGCGGAGGAAGCTGGGGTAGAGGCCGAGGTGGGGGAGGAACTCGAGGCGGTCTGCTGCTGCTGCTGCTGCTGCTGCTGCTGCTGCTTCGAGCGGCAGGAAGCGGCCCAGGCTGCTGCTCCACTCCCGCACTATTGTCCGCTGCGCCGCGCTGAAGTGCAGAAACTCGCCGCGCTGCCCCGTGCTGCCGAGGGCCTCCTCCACGCGCATTTGCGTGTACGTGCACCTTGCTGCTGCTGCTGCTGCTGCGGGCGCTGCTGCTGCTGCTGCTGCTGCGGGCGGCGCTGCTGCGGCCCAGTGCAGGAAGTGGCAGCCAAAGTCGATGTTGCGCACGCCCTTGAAGTTCGGGCCGACGCGCCACTGCGCCAGGTCGAGGCCCAGCAGCAGCTGCTGCGGCGTCCGCAGCAGCAGCAAAGTGCAGCCGCTGCTGAGGCTTGCTGCAGTGACCCGCGGGAACAGCTCTTCCTCCGGAGTTTCCATTCCGCTGCATGCACTGGACCTTTTCTTTTCCGCTTCGCCTTCGCTGCGACTCTTCACTTGCATGCAGCTGCCACCAAAGTCCACAACGGAGCCGCAGCACTCTGCTTTCTCAACTCCGCACTTTGCTTTCTTCTCTTTTCTTCTTTTTCTCTTCCTTTTTGCAACAACTCACCCCAGGGGCCCCCTGCCGCTGCTGCTTCCCGCCCCGCCTGCAGCGGGGACCTGGGGGGCCCCTGGGGGGCCCCAGGGGGCCCCAGGGGGCCCCAGGGGGCCCCAGGGGGCCCCAGGGGGCCCCAGGGGCCCCTGGCAGGAATCCATGTTAAATAACGTGGCTTGTTCATTTTCTATTTATTTTTGAGTTCTTTTTTGTATTTATTTGGCATTTTATGTTCGAAAAGCTATTTGATTCTAGTCCATTTGTGCTGCAGCAGCAGCTGCTGCTGCTGCATTCGCCGCTGCTGCGGCATTTGCTGCTGCAGCAAAGTGCTCATTAAGGCATTAAATGTGTAAAAGACTTTTAGGCATTTGGTGTTGTTTGGAAAGCAAAAGAGGATTTCTTTTGAATAGCGAAAAGGGCAGCTGAAATGCCCGCAAGTGCAGGGTTTCGAAAGAGGGAAAACGAGAAGCAAAAGAAAATTCTTTGGTATTTTTAGCAATAATTCAACAAAACTTGCAATTATATTTCAACTATTTCGCAATTTGAATTCAATTCATGTTCATTTTGCTGCCAACGTGAATTCCTATTTCGCCAGCGCTGCTGTCGATACACCTGAACAGCCCTGAGCTGCGCATACACCTGAAACCCGCCGCTTCAGCCCCCAGCCGAAAGCAGTTTCATTTATTTGAATTTCGCCTTTATTGCTTTAATTTCCTTTTAATTCTTTTAATTTCCTTTTAAATTCTTTTAGTTTCAGTTTTATTCTTTCAACTTCAGCGCATTTCCTCAACTCCGCCTTCATATTTCCTGAGCCGTGCCGTCGCAGCACAGCGGCCGAAAGCTCAAATCTGCTGCTGAGCTGCTGCGGACTGAAGAAGCAAATAAAGAGACCCGGTGGCCCCAGAGGAACCTTAAACTTGGCAGGCTCTGCTCCTGTTCTTGCTGCTGTTGCTGCTCCTGTTCTTGCTGCTGCTCCTGTTCTTGCTGCTGCTCCTGTTCTTGCTGCTGCTGCTGCTCCTGCTGCTGCCGCTCTTGCTGCTGCTGCTCTTGCTGCTGCTGCTGCTCCGCACTCACGTGCCACTGCTGTTCTCTTTCCTGTAGGAGCTTTTCCGCGCTCGCCGGATCCGCCGGACAAAGAAACATTGAAAACTTGTCCGACGCCCCTTGCTGCTGCTGCTGCTGCTGCTGCTGCTGCTGCTGCTGCTGCTGCAGTGTGTTTAGTATTCCTGTTTCTGCTGCTGTTGAAATTGAATTGGAGAAAGGGAGAAGATGGAATGTATCGGGCGAGTTATTTCGCTCGGAGTTTTGGGAGTCTGAGAGAGAATCATCTGACCCCATGTTGCTGCTGCCGCTGCTGCTGTTGCTGCTGCTGCTGCTGCAGCTGTAGCTGCTGCTGCCTGTATTATCGGTGGTGTTGCTCCTGTCGCTGTGCTGCCCTTGTGCTGCTGCACTGTTGGAAAAATTGCGAATGAACGAGAGCTCCTCCTGCAGCTCTTGCTGACTTAGCTGCTGCTGCTGCTGCTGCTCGTGCTGCAGCAGCAGCAGCTGCTGCTGCTGCTGGTGGTGAGGCAGCGCGCACGGCCGCGCAGGGCTGTCTTGAACGAGCTGCAGCAAAGACTGCTCTATGCGGACAGCACATTCGTTGCTGGTGTCATTCCAGCTGCTGCAAGTTCCCAAGTCTTCCTGCTGCTGCTCTTCCTGCTGCTGCTGCTGCTGCTGCTGCTGCTCTTGGGTTTCAAGAGAAACAGTCCCACTGTACTGCTCCTCCTCATTCCACATATGAAATGGCTGCTGCTGCTGCTGGTGGTGGTGGGCGAGGGGCACGAGGGCGCGGAAGGTCCAGAGCCCGGCGGCGGGGAGGCAGGGCGGGTCGCCCATGGGGCAGCGCTGCTGCTGCCAAGCAGCAGCAGCCTTGCGGTGCAGCAGCGCGCCGCGGGGCAGCAAAAAGCGGCGCGCCTGGACGAAGGTGCAGTGCTCGTTGCCCGCCGGGGTGTACAGACGGTAGAAGCGCGAAAAGGGCGGCGCGAGCAGCAGGTCCTGCAGCTTGGGGTGTCCGTACACCCCGGCGTCGAGCCGCTCGTGGCTCGTCCACCGCACCAAGTCCTTGAGCTGCGCGAGGAAGACGCCGAGGGGCTCGGGGTCGACGACGCGGCGCAGCACGCGCAGCAGCGCCGCTGCTGCTGCTGCTGCTGCTGCGGCCTTCGCGCCCGAGGGGTCGCTCGCGTGCCGCAGCAGGAACTCCCGCGCTGCTGCCGGGCACGCCGCCACTGGGATTAGCGTTTTGTCGCGGTACGTCAAAACCCGCGCCCACGAGGCCAGCTGCACCATTCGGATGAGGTCTCCGAGGCGCAGCTTGCGGAACGCCGGCACTTGCTGCCGCAGCTGCTCGGCCAGGGCGTAGCGGCCCTCCGAGAACGCCCCTGCTGCGCTGCTGCTGCTCCGCAGCTTCTCGATGAAGTACCTGCAGCGGCAGCAGCAGCAGCGGTTGTTGTTTGAGTGGTGTTTCAGCTGTTGTTTGAGTGGTGTTTCAGCTGTTGTTTGAGTGGTGTTTCAGCTGTTGTTTGAGTGGTGTTTGTTGCGTGGCGCTTTAATGGCATTCAGGAGGGAAGTGGAAAGCAACCGGGTACAAACAAATGCAGTGGCGAAACAATTCAACAAATAACAGAAAGTGCTAAAACAATACAACAAGGGCAAATAAATTATACAAACGCAGTAGCTTCGACTTGTGGAACCAATCTGCTGAGTCGGCCTTGCTTCCTTCTCTGCACACCACCGAATACACCAAGTCAATGCAGCACTTCGGACTTTTTGGACGCGATTTCCCCAAATCAATCGAACAACCAACCAAATAAACCACACGGAACAACAAGTGAACCAAATGAAACAAACACAACAAACAAAAAGCAAACACGGAAAACAGACTTGTTGAATTCGATCCACTGCTGCTGCGTGTGACTGCTTCCCTGGCTCGGGTGTCTGTACACCGGATAAAAGAAGCACTTCGGACGCTCCGAACGCGCTTTTTCCAAATAAACCAAAATTAACCAGACAAACCATAACTAAACCCAAAATAAGACCAAAGGAAGCAGAAAAGGAAGCAAAAAGGCGCAAAGGAGCTAAAAAGAAGCTGAAAAGCGGAAAACGGACTTGTTGAATTCGATCCACTGCTGCTGGGTGTACTTGTTCTCCTTGGCTCGGGTGTCTATAAACCCCGCGAAGTTCTTCGGGACCAGTTCGTCCTTCAAAAGAAGAACCCAACCATTTTCTCCCTTTACTCTTTTTTCAATCTTGGTGGTGACTTTGCTGCTGCTGCTCATGGCCAGCGCGAGGATCTCGGGGGGCCCCCAGCTGCTGCTGTCGGTCTTTTTGCGCAGCTGGTGGGCCACTTCGCCTGCGAAGGGTTTGATGCCTTCAGTGTAGAGGAACTGGAGGCAGCAAACGAGTTGCTGCTGCAGCAGCAGCAGCCCGGGGGGCCCCCGCTGCAGCAAAAAGCTGCACAGGGGGGCCCCCTCCACCCGCGGCAGTATGCTGCCGTCGCTCAGCCGCAGCACATCCACTCCTGCGATTCTTTGCTTCTGCATTTCCTTTTGCTGCTGCCGCAAAATGCTGCGGAAGCTGCCGTCCCCCACTGGCTGCAGACACAGGCTGTTCAGCGGATACGGCGGCCTGCTGCTGCTGCTGCTGCTGCTGCTGCTG